ATCAAGATTTTAAAAAATGACAAACCGGGACGATGGGACGTAAGATACGACTGGTTCAATGATGGTACCAATTGTCTTGTCAGTTAGATCCGAACGAAGTTTTTGGCAGATTACAAGGAACACGGCACAGAGGCGCTTGGGGCCGAATAAGCAATTTGCCCATGGTTTTAATAAAAGCGCCAGTAAAATAAAAAGAACACTCAAGAGTATGTCAAATATAGTTGCTGCAGTGCAGTCACACTGGATATAGAAGTGCAATGCCATCGTTGCACTGGCACGCTTCGTTTCTGGGCAGCCCCGTACTGGATGCCAGGGTTGTAGTAATCGGATAGGAGATGCACATTCTTGTGGTGGCTGGATTTGGGTTGGATGAGGGTACTGATGGAGCCGAACCGATATAGTCACAGACAATTTGATTCATTCGGAGGGCGATGCGGGTGTAAACCGGGGCCAGTCATAATAAACGACAGTCAGACGGAACTTACTGATGGAGCGAACCGATATAGTCACAGACAATTTGATTCATTCGGAGGGCGATGCGGGTGTAAACCGGGGCCAGTCATAATAAACGACAGTCAGACGGAACTTTCGGGACAGTTACTGTTGACTTTTGAAGTCTGAGAAGAAGAGAGCTTGGGACGAGATAAGTGGATGCTAGTGACTCTCGGGTTTATCAGGTAAAATGGCGTCCAACAATAGAAAAAATCTAGAGGAGGGTAACATAGGCTAAGCCACCCAGAGAAAGGGCATGTTTTTGCTCGCTGACCTAGCAACCAAGGGCTAGCCGATGTAGTAGTAACAAATCACTCTTAGTTTACTTTTGCTCAGCGATTACGCAGTACATCCAGATAATGATGCAAGTATCATTCATAAAATTATGGGGGACTAAGACCAGCAAATAATGGCGGTATTCTTGGGTTCGTTGGTGGCGCACTTCAACGATAAACTGGGTGGTGTGGACACGCAGAAGAGGCATTGCGGTAAGTAGATTATAATCAACTCCATTGACATTTCAACACGGCGGTGGTCACAAAGCTGTTCCCCAAAATTCAAAGGGTGTTTTATTCCGTGTGCTTGTGACTAATCTGCCAGATCCATTCGATGATGGCATATCACCTAGCTAACTGCAGTGACGTCACAATGGATTCTCACGAGGAGAATAAAATGTTCGTAACACCCTGAAATATGATTTCCTAAAGGGAAACTTGAAGAGGACCTCATAAATATCACAAAAGTCATGCGCAAAAACTACCGCGAAGACAAAGGTCCAGCTGGGCAGTGACCACTTGTAATCACGATGTTAAATGAGGTTCGCATCAAAAATGATTTGGCCAATTTCCTTTCAGATGACGAAATCTTCGAATAATGGCTGAGTTACTTAAACTCATTGAAACCTGCCATATTTTTATGCAAAAATTGCTTCCCTTGCTCAATGAATCCCGCATGCGGTTGTGAAGATCAGTAGTGGCAGCCACGGATAAAATGCTGGATACAAATCATTGCAATGTTCCCGGCAGAAGCAGTGGCTAACAAAAGCGTACGGCAACTTCGTATTTAGTATAAGTGCACAAATGCCATAAACTTGCGTTAAGTTTTCGAAATGTCAGGTTCTGAGGAGGGATGCACATGTGTAGTTGGGAGGCATGAAGACTGTAAACAAGTACAATTTGAAGTAGAATTTTCCACAAAGCAAGTGAGATAAGCAAAGCTCTGTAAATTTGGAATATTTAACAATAATCTTGGGGTTCAATAAAATGATCAGTGCTGCCGTCTATCTGCAAAATATAAGCTATCGGGGCTCCATCCTCTTACAATACATCTTTGACGGCAGTCACTCAGCTTCTAGATGAATTAATCCTGGCGCCACACTAGTAGCTAGACTTTAACCGCTCCCGCGAGAGGGATATCGAAATCACTCATTAGACTGAAATGTTTGCTCTCATAATTTTATCTCTTTTCAAAAAATTTCTTAATGCGTCTCATCGAAATCAGTTACGTTTCATACTGTTGTGTCATGCTTTACCATTCTCTAAGTTAAGGGGCCATAGTTACCGTTTTCGGTGCCACCGTTTAGATATTACGTCAGGTAATGTGCACTTCGTAGCTGGAGGGGTCACGCTATTTCCTGCATTTGGATACACAGCTTGGGCCACGAAGTATGGGACCAATTATCACGCAAGCCAGCCTGTTCCACAAGTCCTGCAACCCATCCCACAGGGTTTGATCGCACCACACCAAGATCTCCTCAACTTCCTTACATACAAGATGACAAAGCACCCCAGATTCATGCCTGCCCTATTGCCATAATATGCTCTGACGCATAAAGTCATTTATACTTTTCCAACTTCCTGAACCGGCTGTGCCTCTCTTTCAACACACCATGTAATGCCATATATATACATTTATTTAACATGCATGCCGCTATTCCCTGTAGACCCAAACTGGCGCCCTGGCCCCCTCTCCAGCTCTCACGACACTTTCTGCAAAGGTGATACTAGGCCATTTTACTATCCATCTCTGATAAACTCTAAGCTTCCGGACCTACCTCTGAAACTGCCCGGCAGTTAATCATCTTTACTCTCGAACTGGTCACAGAACCACCTGTGCTCGAACGACAATTTTACTCGCGTATATCCATTTCTTACTCCTCTGTCCCCTTGACCAGGTTCATGGACAACGACACAATAAGCTATGTTTCAAGCAGCGCACCACAAGCTCTTACATGTTCCTCTTGTTCACCGCGGCTGTTCCATTTTCACTCGTCACCTGTTGTCATTCCTCATTCACCCTAGTACTCATAACTACAGTTCGTAGGATCTTATACTCTTCTGAATCATTAACTGATTTTTGCTTTCTCCGCTTTTGAGCCCCATTCTGGATGTCTTCTTCAAAGCTCCGGCCGGATGGCAACACTACTACAGCCGTTACTTCTTCGGCCAGAGTCGATTCAGGAAAACCCTCACATCTTCTTAACTCTTTAACTAACCTTTGGATACTTAAGTACATTTAGTATGCTCAGTAGCTTTTCCCATTACACACATGTGCATGGCTATCCGTAAACTCAATTACGATGCCACGGTGTAGGTACAGCGACTGCCGTACTCGGTCCGATTACCCACCCGCATCTCGCTATATTCCTGCAAGCTCGAGTAATAGGGTGTGACTCGCACACAAGGCTCCATCTCAGTCAGCTGGATGAATGCCAAAACTCCAGGTAATTAGCTATTCAGGCGCACTAACAGCTCGTTCCACCCATAAATCATTCGGCTCTGCGCAACATAAAAACGTTGCCTGTCCAGTATGTCCCATCAAATGTTGATGACAGTCCTCAAAATAGGTAAGTTTACTCCTTTTCCAACCAAATTCATATTTCTGTTGTAAGTCTCCTTTCCTCCACACTTTACTAGTACATTGTTTGTCATGCTCATTTCACTGCCGTCGCTTCAGTTAAAAACTTAACAGTCCTAGTTGATCTCACCTTTGCTACGTTGACCGCTTCTAGTTAAAAACTACCATGTTATATTTCTAACGTATTGTACCACGTATGTGGATTTGAAGGATGAACGCGGTCAATGATCAATTGTCTTAAAAAATTCTACCCTTACTGGTATGAGTTCCAGACTTGAACGATGCAGTATCGCCGCCAAACTGAATAATTTAAATGAGAAAACGAGCCCTGGCATTACATGTTTAAATAGGACGAAAGCGAGCGTGATCCAATATATCTGGAGCTCTCACTGGTTCAGAAGTTTCACTCATAAGTCTGTGTAGCTATCTCTGCGTATCCTAAAGTCTCAGAGTTGTTGGGCCCCTTATCTATCAACTATGAACGTTTTTGTGAAACATGTGCACGGTGGACCCACAGAGCTGCTTGTACCCTAATGGCTCAGGGTCAAAAAGGATGCCAGCCATCAATTGTGGTTGAAAAGTTTTGATCATCTAGGCACGCTCACCATTAGAAAACCTCGGTCGAAATCTTTTGGGAAGTTCACAAACCACACTTAGCAGCAACTAACCACAAAAATGGAATGCACATATTTAAAAATTATTGGGAATTTCATGGTGGTGCGATTAAACCAGGCAAAACGTTTTGCTCTGCTGCTTTCACTGATACTAATCATGTTTAGGTTGAGCAAGTGACTGGCTTGCTATCCAGGATAATCGTAGTGGTAAGGTTGGAATACTGGTACGAATTGCGTCAGTTGTAGGAACCAGAGGAGCAGCCATCAAAGTTGGCATCATCCAACATAGAAGGGGTCTCATCAAAACCGGTACGGCCTAAAGGTAGGGAATATTGGAGATGGTGGAGCAACCGTTAGACTTTTTCCAGATTGTAAGGAACATAACAACAGAGGCAAGACCAGACCTCTACCATAACAAAATAGTGAGCGACAACACAACAAGAGGAAAAAATTCAAACGGGTCGCGCCCGCTAAGTGATGAAAAATTGCGAGTTCCGAGATACGGGGAATGGGCGCAAAAAAGATAAAAGGGTACTTAAGTGATCTGGTTGCCCAATTTGGACCAAAAAGGAGGCTGTTGTGGGGGCAATTTGGGCGAGGATAGTTGGCCCGTGCCTTTAAAAGCTTAGGTAAGGGTTCTAGGTGAATATGGCATCAGGAACTCAGAAGTATGGCGCAAACTTATTCTGAATAGAAGCACTGGCGTCACCGTCGGAGGGTAATAGGTGGTACTAATTTCTTGTAAGTGCAAGATGGTAATCCCACATCGGACCGAACGACAACGGTATAAAAATAACAATTTCGTGGATGAGACAAGATGGGAGCGCAGCGCAACACTCAGGTGGTCGAAGCTGAGAAAACGAACCCGTCCCAGAGGTGATTGAGGCCACTTGCCCGCCACCAGAGTTGTGACAGGTCAAGAGGGGGTCCAGAGTTTGAGAAAAATAGTTGCGGGCGTGACGCCAGAGCGTGTATGGCTATCAATGCCATCACAGCACTAACATACTTCAGCTTCTGGGCACCCATGTGACGGATGTCATGGTTGAAGTGGGTGGACATATGACGTGAAATCTGTCGACTGCAGGGTTTGGATCAGCCAGAGGGCAACATAAGGCGAATTACACCGATGTACAGACAAATATAGTTTCCGTTTTTTTGAAGAGCCATGTAAATGTAAAACAAAGACCAGGAGGAAGGTTTGGAGCATCTACTTCTGAAGATCCAAGCTGTGGAAGAGGAGGGACTGAGATGGGATCAGCAGTGCCTGGTGAGTGAACAGCGGTATCAGATGACAGATTTAAGCGGGAGGAGAAAGGCTTGAGTTCATCAAAATAAGTAGAGTGACGACTGGTCGCTAGATGAGCTGAAGTAAAACAGCGTTTGTATTGAGTGGCCTACCACGCTTAGACTGGCTAAACTCGCCAATATACTGATATTTAGAATGGGAGGCACAAAATAAAGCAGCAAAAATGGGGTCCTGCTCGATTTCACACAGGTAGCGGTGTAAGAGGCTAGCAAGCGTGATGAAGGCGGGGCCTCACTTTTTGCACACATTGTCTGTTAATCAGGAGGCCTAAGGCCAGGGAGAGGGGCAAGTTGCGTAATTTTGTCAAGATCGAGGGTCAACCGATGTGATAACGAGTAATGAGACCGGTCATTGGACTATTTAGGATAGAGAGATACGAGTTGAGTTAGTCAGAAAGCGCTAAAACTTTATGCCACTGTTGATCTCAACAGAGTGGCTGGCCTGTACGGATAGTTGTCAGTGTGGTGAGGGACAGCAGACAGACAGAGAATAAAGGAGATGGAACTTTTTAGATGATGGACAAGAGCTGGTTTATCTGGAAATTGTCACATCAGCTGAATAGCACCACATTGTAGAAAAACATGCACAATGTTTAACGAATTGGCAGGGGCTGCATCAGATCTGAGGATGAGATTATAATACAGCTGAAGGATGAAAATACACTGCAGCCTAGTCATCCTAGTCTATATCAGGCTTAAACAAAGGTTTTGCATATTCTGCTCGTCAAATAATTTTCCTTCTTTCCCGACAGTCTTTGCTTTGGCCGCCCGCAAGATTGCCAACAACGAATGTTTGGACAATAAACAGAATCAGGTGTTTTCCTAGTTTCAAAACATTTCTGCTTTTCATGCAGCAATAATTTTGTGCCTTTCATGGGTTGTGGTGCCGCATGGCGATTCCAGGCGGAGTACCAACCCATAAGTGTAAAGTTGACCCGCTTCGATCCTTACGTCACGATGTCAACAAATTTATATTTTTGCAGTGCGCAGCTGGGCGGATGAGCACGAAAATAGAAATATTGTCAAATACTGGTTTTAACCATAGCCTTCTACTTAGTTATCCTGCCACCAACTTGATGATGATTCTTCTACTCGTGCTGCTCTAAAAGTCACCTCTTGGAGTTCAAGGCTTGTTGGCATCGGCCACGCTTTCAAGTCCTTGCCACAGTCTTTGACGTATGAAATTTCAAGTGAAATGACGAACTGGATAATACTGCACACACGTTTTTGGTACTGTACTGATAGAAAATTATAGTATTTCCGAAACCTGAATACAAAACATCCACAATATATATATATATTCTGTATGTTATCACCCTAAAAGCCAAGATATTCCCTAAGTGGTTTCGTGGACCGCAGTATGGCCTCCGCTTGTGATTTATTGCATGATGAGTCTCAGGAAAGAGGAGATTTTTGTGTGTTGTCGTGAGCTTCCCTGTATTGTTGTGAGTAGAGCGTTGTGTTCAAAAGATTTCATGTTAAATTGTGTAATCGTGAGCTGGAATAACTTGGGGAAAAGCAACGGAAAATTCGAAAAATGGGGCCTGTGAGACCATGTGTTTGCAATTCTGGGCTTGATATACCCAACGATATTCTAAGCTATGCATTTTGCAGGCTAGCTCGGCTACTCGGCCGAACTTGAATGGGTTGACTAATGATTTTTCTAAGCCGTTGGGCTGCGCACTTTTGTTTCCTTTGCAAAATGAAAAAAACAACTCATGAAAGTCGCGAGCTCTTGAATTACAACAGCATCGAACATCTATCGAAAACTGAAATGCTTAGGATTACTTGAAGTTCCTGAAATAGGATATATCTTTGGAATTGAGAACGGGAGAAATCTGGGGTGGCGTTCGGGATAAAACTCAAAGGTGGCGTAAAAATACATGAGTATAACCTTAGGTTCTGTGAGGCCACGAATAACCCGTATCTTTTTTACTGCAAGCTCGATTCACCTTGGTTCCAGCTTATCGGGTATGGTTTATTGAAATGCGTTGCGCTGATGTGCTGGTACCTTTGCTTTACAACGGGAATGGATCCGGTGTACCGCCAGTTTCTTATGTTAAAACTCTCCCTTTTGGAAGGACAAACCCAGGAGCTACCAACGCAACGCATATTGGAACCCTGGGATAGCGTTTGCGTGCAGATCTAACGAATACTATCTTTTGACGGAGGAGTATCGGTACAGGAACAGGTCAGGAACAGCTGGATGGGCTGAAGTCTACCGTGGGTCGCTCCGCGCGTGCCAGTCTAAAGACCTCGGTTTCCAAATTACGGAATCAGGCTGCAGCTGCATAAACGGATATGATGTCCTCTCATGCTCACAGAACCTCTAGAAATTCAGGATGTTTGGGGTCACCTAGCAGCTTCCTGGTAAGACCCCATTTAGAATAGCAGCCCGATGTTATTTCTTGAATAGGACGCGGCATTTCTGTGAAAGGTCAAGCAACAATCCACCGCATCAACGTGATTTGCAAAGCCCCACAATATAACTATCCCCTGAAAGTTTTCAACTTATTTTCATTAATTCGGCCCCGGCCGAAATGGGTCCCCACTAAACCAACCAAGGCTCTCTGAGGACTAGCAGACTGACTTCTGTATCACACCATGAAGAACGAGGTTACAGGTCTAAACTGGTCAACCCTACTGCGCCGATGATTGTCTTCTTACAGGGTCATAAACCACCAGACAGGGTTACTTCTTGAAGTGGAATAGACGCGAAGCTGGACAACTTTAAGCTGAAGTTAGACACCTGCTGACCTGGTATCTTCCCGGAATGCATCTAGGCCCTTAAATATGAGAGGGAATAAACTTTTATCAAACAACATACCACTCGCACACTTAAAGGTATTTACAACCATCCATCCCGAATTGATTGCGGCCAACGTTTGAAATTTCGACTTACCAGCAGGCAGAAATGTCAACTATCTCTTAAAATTCTCTGAAATTTGTTCCACAGTGACCTCAGCCATTCTGCTTCATACTCTTCACTGACCATCAGAGTCGGGAAAAAAAACTTCAGTCAAATTGAAAAGTCAGTCAGATCCTGTGCTTCTGTTATGTTGTCGTCTGCCTCGCGGGCGAGGAGGAACTTTGCTTCCTGAAAAGAGGGACTGAAACATAGGGGAAAATTTGTATGCTACATTCATTTGAAGAACACCATAAACGAGAGATTCAGCTCGGACCCAGGTTAGCCCTCAGTAAATAGATGATATTTACGCGAATATAAGTGTGTTTCAAAACAATTATCGACTTTTTACGCCGGCGGCCAATTTTATGTTTTATGATCCTGAATCCCCTAAACTTGATAACCGGACTGAAGATAAATTAAATTACGTCGGTGTTAGTAAAGTCCAGGTCCGCATAAAGTCCGGACTATTCAATTTCCAAGGCCTGCAACGTCACATTGTTTGCATCCCCACATAAGGTGCGCGTATTGCTGGAACTAATGCAGAGAAATACGAAAGTAAAAGAGATCTTAGACAAACTTGAAGACAAAGCAGACTGGGTGAGTCCAATTTATCGCCCATGTGGCTGGTATCGAGCACCAATGTTATATTGATTCTCCACGTCCGTCTTTTTTTCGTAGGGCTCATGAGATCATTGTGTAAAGCTGTAGCAATTTATAGTATCAAAGAGCAATCCATTACTTTAGTTTGTTTTGCTTACTGGCAACACTACTTGAAAATGTAAAGTCAAATGTAAAATATTTTGCAGGATCCTAATAGCGAAACATACAAGCGCGTAAATTCTCACTGGCGCGTCTAATGTCGATCGTAACCTGCTTGGTAAACATACGTCAATAAACACGGTTGATGTTTATGTTCCTTGGGCTTTAGAGGTGCTGCTGTTAAGCAGGCAGATCAGGATGAAGGTGAAGCGGGATCAAATTACACGGAATACGACTCCGATTTTTAACTTTTGCACAAAATAAGCAATTCACTGTATGTTCGAATTTCCGGACAGTTCCGGGCGCGAACTTGGTTCGTGTTCATTCGGAGTAGGTGAGTGGGACCTCAGTCGATTGCCGTGAATCACTTGCCTAGGCAGGAAGTATACATGGGATGCACTGCTTTAACCGGAGCTTCTGACCGCGGAGTAATGCATGTGTGCACTCTAACCTTGGGCGTCAGGTCTTCATCACCGCCGACTTTTCGATTGGCCAGTTGGAAGAGGTTCATAACATCTGCGAGGGTCACCCGAGAATCGCGGAGGGAATAAAACTACCTTATCATTCAACCGTCAGGAGGTTCGCATCATTTTGGTAATGTCGGGTTTCCATTGCTAGTACAAAGATACTTGAATCTGTTTTGGCGGTTTCAACTGACGGCGTTCGAACCATTTCATTTTTTGATTCCCGTGAAATGCAGTAGCTATGAGTTCAGATTAAGCTGGTTCTGATATTGGTACTGGTCCAAGTTGTGCTCTGAGTCGTTCAAGAAATGAACTACACTCCGTGTGGATCAATCCAAAGATAACCCAAGCAACCCCAGACGGTGTCCCCGGAGTTCAGCTATACGACCTAAAGTTTGATACGGTTGATGGCAATTGTTGGAGTTAGCAGGAATCTGGTGGACGCGAAGCTCGCATGCATTATGCGATAGGATAGTTTCTGTGTCCTCCAGACAAATTCCTCAACCCTTCTCGTATGCTCAGCATCTTCTCTTTTGTACTTGAGTAGTGGGCTTTGGGCCCGAACTGTGTACTTATAGCAGGGCTCGATACCAAGAGATAACATTAAGCTG